TCCACACAAGGCCTTGTGGGTTTCCCACTTGCAATACTGTAGTTTTGATATGATTTTGTCATTTCATAACCCAACAGTTGAATAAGTGAAGTGGAAATACTACAAATCAAGCCATTCATGCCACAGTCCCTTTGCAGTACACTCCTAAGTGGAGTTACCCCCTTCTAAATACATTAACCTCAATGGGTTTAGAAGGGTGTAATTTGGTTCAGGGCTGCACTCATCTTAATTTTAACTACTTTTAACTTCACTTGTCTGTGGACCAAGATATCTACAATGGCCTCTTGTAACACATTAAAACCTGATTTCATCCATTAAAGAAATATATCCAAATAAAATGTATGGAAGTTTTAAAATATTATGGACATGCAGGTATTTACTGCTTAGAAGCACCTTGTAATTTATTGTTTGATGTTTTCCTCCAAACAATAGCAACAAATTTTGTTCACAGACCAAGCATACAACATCTCACAAAAATAATCAGTTCTTTTTTAAAAAAAAAAAAAACTATAATGAAAAATGTCTGAAAAGTTTTAAATAATTATCCCTTCTTAATTCCCATTTCTTAACATAGCTCTTTTGGGTGACTATGTTTTGTGTGAAACCTATCCTGAACTGTATGCTTTAAACATAAACAGCTGCTTCTTACCTGGACATCGCTGTTCGCTACACCGCCTAACTTCCTCTCCAGTTCCTTCACATTGTTGTCCAGTGATAGCTGCTCCTTGACATATCCTTATTCGCTTCTCCCAGCCACCATCACATGACTTGGAACACCCACTCCAATGGCCCCAGTGATTCCACTGACCATTAGCTGTTTGGAAAAATGGATACTGAAAGTTCCACGATAACAAATGTTAAGATACATAAAGGAGTGGAACCCAATCAACTGTAAACCAACCCAATATGTTTTATTTATTTATTTATTATCACTTATCTTATTTCCCTTGCCCAGCTTCACTGTCCTTACAGCCCAACACACTTAAAAAAAAACTGGCTGATGCCAAGTATAAATGTGTATAGGTTTAAATTAATTACCCTTTGTAATAACATATAACGAAAAATGGCAAAGTACAACAGACAAATAGAGGACTATGGGCATGTTCCTCTCAAAGTTAGCATTTTTAATTCCCATTAATTTGAAACGGAAAGAGTTAGGCATGTGTTTTTAAATCTACCTTTGAAATCAATGGACTTTAATGTGATTAGATTTGGCAATATTGTGTCTCATCTCTGGTAAAAGCAAAGAGAATGACATTCATGAAATCATACTACTTTCCCATATAAGTAAATGTGGACTGCTGGTAACTGCACTTTCATAGTATATCATGAATACATAAAAACACAATCACTAGTTATTTTCATTTAAGCTGCTCTTCTAAAGCTTCTAAAGCTTCAATATACTCTTTGTACTGTGGCCCCGGTCACACGGAGCATTTGACCCGCTGAAGGCACGATACTCCTGCGGATTTTCCGGGCGTGATCTCACCAGAACATCTGGGAAGCATAGCACTCCTGTGGCCAAACCGCTGCAAGCCGCCGAAACCGCATAGTTAAAAGCTACCAGGATTGACCTACCAGCAAATGGTTTGCCACAGGCTGCTTCTGGACTCCTGTGGTGTGATCGCGCCGGCATCCTCTTTGCTGCGCGTGCCAATGGTGGAAGCCCCGGTGTGGTGCCGTCAAGTCTGATCGCCTAATCACGCATCAGATTGCGACGGGGCAAAGAGCCACGCTTCCCCCCCCCCGCGTTTTCTGGCCCGTGTGACTGGGGCCTGTATTTCTTTTCTTTGCACATCTATTATGCTTTTTTTCTCAGTATGATTTTCATTAATACCTTTGTGTTGTACAGCTCAATAAAAATATTCATATTAAAAAGACTAAGGAAAAATCCCTATATCTATTTATAATAGTCGAAGAAATTACTGTTTGTAGCTTTTGCCTCATTCTGAAGATAACTCTGTATTTTAAATTTATCAAATGCTTTTCTATAAATATTTTTAAACGTTCCCAAACTGTTACATTTGTGAAGTAAATCAGAGCCATTCTATAGACAGCTATCTGTAGCACTGAATCATATAGTTAAAAAAGCATGCTAGATTTCCCCATCATTTCATTGGTTGGTGGTAAGTCTTAGGTTTAGTATAAAGGGACATGGATCTAGCCATAGTTTAATTTCAGTATTTAAAACATACTTACATCACATGTTGACATTAATGAAACTTACAAATGGTTCTTTTTGGCTGGACTTAATGCGCGCACACACACACCCCAACCTTCAGAACAGTTAAGTGTGTTCACATCATTCTCTCAAGAATGACTTAAGGAAGAATGAGGGGAAATTTTCCCTTAGCAGAAAAAAAATAGGCATCAAATTGTCACATATGACAGACCATCAGACATGGCCTCTTTTAACTCTTCTATGAACTGAAACCTTTTATCCCTGAAAGAGCCTTATGTACCTGTGCATTCAGGGTTGTAACACTCCCTGCTTTCAGCCCATGGACCTCTGCACTCCGAGCCTCCATGGGCAGCTGCTGTGCATTGTCGACTTCTCTGCTGTGTGCCATTGGAACATGTCACTGAGCACTGACTCCAAGCACTCCACTCTTGCCATTGTCCATCAACTATTGCAACACACACAAAATAGAAAGACAAGTACAACCCATATTACCAGCAAGAACCAGCTTGAACCCTTTCTACGAGCTTGCACTTATTTTCAAATAAGTACACCAGAAAATAAAACATCAGGGTACAGCCCAGTCTTCCATGGATGTCACTGGAGGCAAACCCATAGGGTTGAAAGCAACCTGTTCCCTCTAGCACACATGAACTATACTGTGGAAGGCTGGGGCAGGTAAAAGTTAAGTAGGACTGGATCACTGTAAGAGATGCACACGCTGGCATTCTAGTCTATATAACAGACTAGAAATAATGTCCGTTGCGGAAATAAATACAACGGGATCTAGAAAGAGGCTCTGGGAGAGTGCTCTGGCTTTGGGCAAACAGTGTCAGTTTCCTGTGGCGACCTCGGCAGGGTTTAATGACAGAGTCCACTGTTTTCTCCAGAGGGACTGATCTGTGCTACCTGAAGACCATTTGTATGTTTGAGTTATCTGTAGCCCTCACCTGGAGAGTGGTAACCATTGTTACCCATTCTCCTCTCCCCTATGAGGTATGTTATGCAACTGAAAATTCCAACTGCCTTGCGGGGGGGGGGAGTTTGAGGTGTGGAATGGAGTGAAGTCCAATCAGCTTCCATATGCAAAAGACCAGGTTGTCGCAGCAGTTGTGGTGTGGGCGGGACCCGGGCTTTGCCTTCTGATTGGTGGCGATATATGCTGAGGAGCAGTGCCATCAGCCATACACTAAGGGAGTGCATTTTAGAATTAGAACTTTGGCACCCACTATTCAATTATATATAAGGAGAGATACACCTAAAGAAGAGAGGGACTTGCTGGGCTTACTTTGATCCTGGCTGATTTCACACTAGAGGATCACGAAACTGCGGAGGAAATCGGGCAAAGCTGCAGGTCAAATGCAGCCCCGCAGCTTCGGTTGTGAAATTGTGAAATTGACCAATAGTATCAGGGCAAACGGTGGTGCAACATCGAGGCAGCTCTAGTGCAAAATCAGCCCCTGTCTTTAGATACAGCAGCACCCATGGAAAATAGGGTTTCTTACCATTTCTGAATGTCATGCAAAAATAGGTGAGCATTACTCTGTGTATACACAATATCTAATGTGTAAGAGAAAATGTATAGGTCATACCTGGAAGCAAGCCATGTCAAATTTGGTGGAAATTGTTTTTAGCAAGCATGCCTCAGATTGATCTGCATGGTTGTGGGGTTCCCTAACATTTTTTCCTCAACACTTTATCAAGAATGTATTATAAATGTAAGGTATTATTGCATGTTTCCTGTCTCCTATTTATTCTTGATCCTGCAACTGATACATGCAAATGGCTAGGTTTGCAGCTACCCCCCCGTCTTTGACACCACATCTCATTTTCAGCTAGTAAGAGTGACATTTCCTCCTCCCACCTCAGTCACTCTCAGTTTCTGTGGCTAAATACCCTTCCTCATGAACAGGGGCACACTACACAATATGTTTGGCCACAATGCAATTTTTTATTCCCCAAAGCCAGGCAGTACCTGCAGGAAAAGTTGTTTTCCAAGTATCCCAGGGCCCAATTTCAATGGGTACCATCACACAACGGAAGAAGGGACTCCTGCCTTCCCCTTGAGCTGCTTTCCTGACTCAAAATAGCCTTGGGACATTACATTGTAATGGACCATTGGGAAGTGGGAAAACACTGAAGATGGTAGAAGCCTCTCTTCCCCCAGGACAAGGGTCCCAATCCAAATCAGGCCCTGCAGTGCTTGAAAAGTAAGTTGCTGGGAATGTGAGTCTCATGGCCAAACGTCTCCTTTAGTTTGGCCTGCACAGTTCATGCTGTAACGTACCTCTGGAAATAAAGTCAAGTGTCTTACTTTGAAGCCCCTGTAGCAGCAAGAGATGTAGCTGGTGAGGTAGGGTGGAAGACAGTACTCCTCCACAGTTGAAGGTGACTGTGGAGGATGAAGTAATCCTTTTTCTTACTGATTCTTTCAGTTACCAACTTACAAACCATAGGAACACCATTTAGGGCATGAAGACCAAAATGGCACCAGGAGCAGGATAACACATGGACCCAACTGCAACACAGTCATGTCTCTACTCCTGCCCAGATACTCCACTAGTGACAATGCATTGTACTGGCATGCAGGACAATTGCCATGAAGTACAGGGGATCTAAAGGTTCAGTTAGAGCTTATCCATTAGGCTAGTCAAGTGCCTTAGGATTTTCTTAAATGGAATAAGCCATGGAAGGGAACTTCCCAACCTCCCACCTCCTGCTGCAGACTGCCATGCTCATGGATTTCCACTTCAAACAGTTGTGAGTCCCTTGGAAACAGCACAAGAATGAAGCAGGAATCTGCAGGATGATGCAGGAAAAAACCCTCCTTTCTTTAAGCAGAACTACTTTCTACAACAGCAAAGGCTAGACTCTATAAACCAGATGATAACTAAGCCAGATAAGTAAAGTAATTTATGTTACTATGTGTTCTATATTTGCTAATGTGAAATTAGGGTGTACTCTTACCATAGTACACTGTCCTTAAAATTACTGAACTTACTTCCAAGTAATGGGTTGGATCCAGACTAATGCTTCCACAGGCACAAGGATTTGTGTTCACATAACATGATTCTCCCTCCCCCATCTTAATATGGCAGCCTGACATGCCATCAAAATCTTGATTGCCCTCGCCTCAAGGAGGGGGGCATTTTGGGCTGCCATTGGAAAGGGGAAATTGTGCCCTATGAACAGAAATTCTTGTCCCTATGGAATTGTCTAGTAGTTGGTCCAAGCCTATATGTTTAAGACTGTACCATGCAGCTGTAATAAAATTTTAGATTATATATTAGGTGAAAAAAATAAATGATTAAATGTTTCTGATAAAGAGGAAATAGCAGGATAAAAAAAAGGAATGGATACAACAAATGAATCATTAAAATCATGGCTGTGAATTAACACTGTATGTTTACACATAGGTCAACAGCAATGACCTTTTGTCCATCTAATATAATAATTTATGTAATGACTTAGGAGATGTACAACATGATCACGCAATCAGGCATTCAGATAAATGGAAGGGTTATTTACATGTTGAGAAGGAACTTGTGGGAGACACATAATCACACACATATTTTTATACATTTAACGTTGACTATCATCCATGGAACTATAGCTATGTCTTAAAATTGCAGCACCATATGACATCACCTGGCTATCTGGATGCAGGGACACACAGTTCATCAGAATGTCTCATAACAATGTCTATCAACTGAAGACTAAACAAGACAACAATATTTTGATTCCACTGAAAATTGAAGAAGTCTTACTTTCGAAATATGGACACTGACAGAACCTGCTTATGTTGTAGCCTTCCATAAAGCCCCCCTCCCTCCAAAAAAAGTTATGTTTTCATTCTTTCTATTTCAGATCCACAGCAGTACGATGTTAAGAAGAGCAGGGCAGGCCAAACGATACTTATAGTGTCTGATTTGTGAAATATGATTATGCATTGTGAAATTGGTTGAAATGAGTGATTATGGAGTCATCCAATATTTCTGAGATAATGTACTGCACTGTAGTTACTTATCAACCAATGAAGTCTTTTGTGTACACTTGACCTGTGCATCTTTCTACTTTACTAGCCAAATGGATCAGATACTAATTTTGTATTGTTCTAAATCCACTACTGGTGATGGTTGCTCTACTGAAGAGATCCTTAGAGCACATTATTACAAGCAAAGCACTTTAAAACATTAATTTGATTTGGGAGAAAAGTCACTGGAATGACAAAACTTGAACAAGGGAGATTCTGATTAGTTTTATTGCACTGCTGGTCAATTGGCCGTAATAATAAATTTGATTTGATTTGATTTGATTTGATTAGTATTCCCACAGTAGGTGACACACAGGCTGTCATTCACATTTGAATGCAATAATGCTTATTGTTCAGGTATACTCTGGAGTAGCCAGTAGAGTCCTTCCTTAAAGGATTATATTCCCTTGGCCATCCTACTGGCTCAATGGTAGAACAAAATCATGAACAGAACTGCTTCTATCTCAGTAGCCTGGTCTCATGTCCTAACATACTCCATATAAATTAAACAGATTTATTGAATACCTCCACTGGCACGGTCTGTACAATAAACAGATCTTCATAAAGAAGGAATAGATAAATAGATCTGTTTATTGTACAGACCGTGCCAGTGGAGGTATTCAATAAATCAGGAATAGATAAATAGATCAGAAAAAAGATTTTTTTACAATTCTTTTTATACCACAGTGTTTCCTGTTTTACTCAGACTGTACATCCTACAGACCGTGGGACAAATAAGTGCTTGAAGCTTTGATCTTTTGTATCTCTCCTTCTATCTCTCCTTCTCCCAGCAGCCTGAGACCTACAAAAAAGCCGATGCTCAGAGTTCAAGGGATTGGACTCTTCCATGTCTCCTCTATTCCTCTATCCTTCCACTCTCCTTGGCAAGACTGAAAACATCCACTGCTGTGACATGCATGCATGATACTTCAGTTGCCATTCGGCAATCAATGGTGCGCGTGCTCACACACACATATAAAAGCCTTAGTGGACAGGATTCATCTTTGTACAACAGCAACCCCTCCCTACCAAAGTCATGTCACAAGCTGCTTTAGGATATCTCACTTGTTTGAAAAATGCCTTTTTGTGCAATATAACAGGGGGCTTTGGAAAAAATGAGCTCAAAGCACTCCATGTGCAGTTTTGCAGATACCACTTTTACATTTTAGGGGTTAGCAGTCAGATACCTTGCACAGCAGAGCACCATCCCTATTAATGCTCTCAGAATATCACAATCATACCCCTTTCTTGTAGATTTTAAGCTGAATGAGTGCGCACGTGCGCGCATACACACACACAACAAAAATGAATGAACAAAGGAAACCACAAAGGAACTACACTGACCCCACCCAAGTAAGCAACAAACAGTTGTTTTTTTTAAAATATATATATATATATTTATATATGTATATATGTATGTATGTATATGCTCACCAGGGCAAAGAGCAATATTGCAAGGCTTATGTTGTGTTTCAGGTCCATCACATGATCTTCCCCCATATTGAGGAGGTATACACGACCTTGTTCTAGTTCTTTGGCCTCGACCACAAGTGAATGAGCACAAACTCCAAGGTGACCACTCCTCCCAAACTCCATGTACTGTAATAAAGCAAAGAGGCTTTAACAAGAAAAAGAAAAAGAACATGACTACCCAAGAGTGTTCAAAACAAACATAGTAAAGTTGTTAAAGAAATTACTTAGCCAGCATCAGAGATTAGGTGAGAAACAACATTTGTACCATTCAAAAATAGTAATTAATGAAACTTTAGAGTACTTGGGAGATTAAGGGAAGAACTAGATATGACAAGATTGATCTGTAATCAAGACCTTTGCAGTTTTTTTTTTTAAAACCACTGCAGCTACAGAAGGGGAGAATCAGTTCAGGGCTACATGTGAAGAGGAGGGGTAAGCCCTTTAAAGCTTCTGTGGCATTGCTGTGATCTAAATTGCTCTGCTGCCATTTTCTTAAAGTGCTTTGTGCCACAGAGATGAAGATACATGGGGATTTGGTAGTGCCTGTACCTTTTCCTCCATAGCAGCTTCTGTAAAATAGCACATGGTTAAACCTGAATTCCTCTAGAACTAAATAAATAAAACTAGGTGGCCATGTTGGTTCACAAAAAAATGCACATTGTGTTGTGCTTATTTTTCCACAGTGCACACATTGCACACCATGTGTTGTGTTATTTTGGTTGGTCTTACGTAAAGATATTACATGAGTTTTGTTTCTAGATTTTCCTATAGAAATGTGCACTGATCCAATCTGAGCTACTTCCTTCGGTTGCTTCATTAAAGAGAGAGAGAGAGAGATCTTGATCATTGATCTCCAGTGTCACAGTTTGGCTCCAACACTGAGCATGAATGGAAGTCCAGGCTATGACTGCACTCTGCAATCTTACCCACTGTGCATACAAACAGTCAATTGAACTTGCAACACTAGTAAGTATGGACAGAATCACAGTCCCTCAAGGCAATCTAGAGGTCTGTGCATGCGCCAAAACACTTCTGTGTACAGGGTATTCCTTTCATTAAACTAAAATCTTCAGATCTACAGGCACAAAGGAAAGGTGGGGAAAATTCAGCTTCTTCCACTGAAATGATGGGGACTCCACTGTGTTTACAAAGTTCCATGGATGCACTGAACCTCCTGGACCTTAAATACATCACTGTATATGTTTGTTTGCTTTTTTAATTATCATCATCATCATCACTGTAACAAAGACTTATTTGGAATAGCCATTGTGAGGTCAGTTTCACGTCACATAAAGGAATTGTGGATTGGACCCCACTTAATATTTCTGCATGCATTCCCATCAATTCTCCCCCGCATGAATCTCCATACAGCCCTCCAGAAATTCCTAGAGTTCCCCAGTACTCAAGGAGCAGCATTTAAGGGGGCATTTTCAGCTGCAGTGGGAGGGAGAAGGGGAAATTGAGCTTCCATGGATTAAAATCCTTCAATTTGTGGAAATTTTAGGTGGGATCTATGCCTGTGTGGTAAACACACAACAAATTTGTTAACAGCTGGATGTCTGGTCATGAGACAAGAAGCGATCATTCACATCCTTTAATAGCACACTGACCTTTTCACTTCTTTACCATATGTTTGACGAAACAAATACAGATTTACTGGCCTCAGCCAATTCTGACTAAGAAAATTTTGGGGGATCATGAATTAAAATAAAGTTTATGACAATGAAATGTTTATGTAAGGCTTTGATAAAAGTTTTATGCATGACTCTTTGGTATTGTCTGATTTAGTTTTAGCTTACTATATTTCCTAAAAATGCTTAACCTCATATACTTTTTAAACCTAAATTGGTAAATCAGATGCAAACACCATTATATATTATATGCATATTTCTGTATTAATTTACACACTATTAGTATATCTATTAAAGCAATGGACACAATCAAGAGAATGTTATACTTGCCTAAGTCCCACTGAAATAAATAGTGAGAGGGAGAGTTAAACACAATTTTATTGGGACAATAAGACCTGTTTTCACCAACATAGTAAATGTATCCCTGGGCTCTGTGGCTCTATCACTTAAGACCACACATACGTATTCACATTACTAAATCATTCTCAATAAAAAACAAAAATTCTCTCTGCACAGAAAATTAGTTGCCACGGAGAAGATCATGGTCTCCATTTCTGTTTGCAGAGAATTATGTGCGTGTGTGTCCACGAGTGATGCAATATTCAATCATGTGAGCCCCACCAGTTTTTGCTTCTTCTCAGACACAGGATTATGATTTCAGTGAGAACAAAGCAAGAAATAAAAATGCCTAACACCCTTTGGTTGGTGTCAGGTATCTTCACTAATTATGATGAAACGATCCCTGCAAGTCTTCTCTCCTTTTGTGTCATTTGACCTATAATGATTATTTTCTATTAAAAGAAGCATAACCTAACAAGAGCAGGCACAACATCAGGGGCAGATTATATACAAAATACTGTCAGACCCTGACATAAGAACAGTTATGTTGAAATAAATGTTGTTAAGCTTTACGGTACCATTGGACTGTGTTTTATTTTACTCCAAGAGGTCATTGTGTGTAACCTCTCAAAGGAACACTGACGGAAGGATCAAGAGTTAGCTCTAACTAAACTACTGTTACAGACCACACACAGTGGAATAGGGTCATATTTATTTACCAAGCCCCTGGGGCGATGTTTTCTACGCACATCTAATGTGATCACTGCATGTAAAGCTGATAGTTAATTATTGTTACCTCCCAAAATCTAAGTGTAAAGATCATGTGCTATTGGGCCTATACACATTGACTCAATATTGGTATATGTCAGTTACATGCTTTATCCAAAATGCATGATTCAAGTAAATCCAGAGGTGGGTTTGGGGAGGACAGGATTATCCCATTGATTCATCAGTCTTTTTATGACATAAATAGTCCTGAGCTGATAATATGGAAATAAACAGAAACACATCAAATAATGGGAGAATATAGGATCCTATCCTCATTTTCTTTGAATTTATCTACCATAATCCATTGAAATCATTTTCTATGAACACACCATGTTCACTGACAAAGGTGGAGCATGATTTTAGCTGTTGGAGGGAAATCTCTGAAAAGAACAATAAATTCTATGGAGTTTGTGCAGCAGTGAGATTTCTTTTTCTTTTTTTCTAACTGCCCCTAAGGGCAGAATTTTATTAGCTTTTTTAACACAATACAATACCATACAAAAAGTTTAACATACAAACAATAAAACAAAACGTACACACATAACGTTAATGGGAGTAGTAAATTTTAATAATTAGTACATTAGTTATGCTTAAATATAAACAATATTTTTTTTAGTTTGAGAGAGAGAGAGAGAGAGAGAGAGAGAGAGAGAGAGAGAGAGAGAGAGAGATATTGAAAGCAACAATATGATTAGTTATGCCTAAATATAAACAATATTTTTTTAGTTTGAGAGAGAGAGAGAGAGAGAGAGAGAGAGAGAGAGAGAGAGATATTGAAAGATTGAATTTATACCCCGCCCTTCACTACCCAAAGGTGTCTCAGAGCGGCTTACAAACTCCTTTCCCTTCCCCTCCCCACAACAGACACCCTGTGAGGTGGGTGGGGCTGAGAGAACTCTGACACAAACTGCTCTTTTTCAAGGACAGCTGTGCCAGAGCTTGCGACTGACCCAAGGTCACATCAGCAGGTGCAAGTGGAGGAGTGGGGAATCAAACCCGGTTCTCCCAGATTAGAGTCCGCACACTTAACCACTACACCAAACTGGCTTTATATGATGTAAGTATATCTCATTGCAGTTCTATCTTGTGGGGTTATATAAGTATACTTTATCTTGTAAGTCGTCTTTCAGTTGTATCTGCCTAAACATAATTATTGTACCAGTTATAAAATCGTGTCCAAGTATTCTGGAATGTAGAGTTCGAGAGACCTTTCATTAATAAAGTCAATTTATCCATTTCAGCTACTTCTAAGACTTTGTTTATATATTCTTGTTTTGTGGGTGTCTCTGGTGTCTTCCAATATTTGGCATATAAAATTCTAGCTGCAGTGGTTAAATATACAGTAAGATAGCGATCATCTTTATTAAAATCTTTCGGTAGAATGTTTAGTAGTCATACTTCCGGTGTGAATGGTATAGCCATACCTAACACTTTTTGAGTCATTTCATGGATCCATATCCAGTATTTTTTACTTATTTCACAATGCTACCACATATGATAAAACAAGCCCACCTTATTTTCACATTTCCAACACTTATTTGAACATTTACTGTCATATTTCGCTACCCTCTCTGGTGTTACATACCATCTATAAAACATTTTATACACATTTTCCTTATAAGCTATAGCTTTTGTGATTTTTATATTTTTCCTCCACATTTGATCCCATTGTTCTAAATCAATATTGTGACCTATATTTTGGGCCCATTTAATCATATTTACTTTAACTGTTTCCTCCACCATCATATCATTAAGTAGGAGGGTATAAGTTCTTTTTATGAATTTTTGGTCAGTAGTTATCATGATCTTTTCAATCTCCATCAAGTTTTCATGGAAGCCTATTTTCTTGTCTTTAGACTATCTAGATTCTATTTGGGCTTTTTGACACCACGATAAATTGTTTAGTGGTTTCAGTTCATTCTTAGAGTCTAAGATATCCTGGTATCGTTTTGGTTTCTCTTTCTCATAAATATTCAGTAGCGTAAATGCTTCCAAAGGAGCAATCAATTTTGAGGTTTTTATTTAAAAATGTTTATGTATACTTTTCCAAACTTTCAGTAAAGGTGCTCGAAGCCAGTGTTGTTTAAAATACTTTTGTGTAGACGCCTTCCCATACCATAGAAACGCATGCCATCCCAACATAAGGTCATGACCTTCTATCTTTAATATTCTCTTGTCCTCTAGAATAATCCAGTCCCTAATCCAAGCTAATGCTGCAGCTCTATAGTATAAGATCCAGTTTGGAAGTCTGAAGCCTCCTCTTTCTTTAGTCTCTTGTAAGGCCTTCAGTCTTATTCTGGGACGCTTCCTTTGTCAAATAAATTTCAAGACTAACTGGTCCAGGTCTTTAAAAAAAATTGATTTTGCAAAATGGGAATTGTCTGGAAT